TTAAAATTTTACGGTATTTGCTCTATTATTCGGATGAAATCTGATGGAACGTCTTGAAAAACTGTGGTTTTATTACTTTCTCTCTTACTTATGATTTCGTTTACTCAACTTGTTTCGAATGTTATTGAGCATTAGAGGACGGCTCCATGCTCTTAACTCCTAATTTTGCCACTTATTTGAGATATTGTAGTCTTTATTCTACATTATTTAGAATTTTTTGAGTTTAAAATTAGAAATTAGAAAAATAAGTTAGAAAATTAGAATTTTCTGCATTTTAAACATGTTTGAGAATTTTCTAATTCATCACTAATTAGATCAAGTGAGCGAAATTTTATAGAATTTAAGGGCATTTGCTCCGAAGGAGCAGCTACAACCGCGACGGAAAGAGGGAGCAAGATAGCGCATCGGAGGCAGAAGCAGCGCGCTGCGGTGCGGTGACGGGCCAAGACATGGCCAAGAGAAGCGAGCTGCGATCGCGCAGCGAAGGGCTCGGACTCGGAACGTACCGCCCTACCCGCCCGCCTTGATTCCGCCGCCGAGCAGTGGCTCTCCGCTCAGCTGATCGCAAGCGATTCTCCAGCGCATGAGTCGGCCCGTGTTCAGGCCGCGCAGCGCGCTGCGCCACCTCCATCCGCTCTCTCTACGTATTTCTGTCTCTCTCTCTTTCTGTTTTCAATGCAATTTACATACTGAACACCTTTTATAAATTATATTTGCTAAAATGTAAAAAATGCATGTAACAGGTGTAATTTTCTTCTTTCTTTTGAAATCTTTGGGCAAGCAGTGCTTGCCTTGCTTATCCGGACCGCACGCCACTGGATAATCTCTAATGAATATGTATCAAAGCTACGAGTACTTACAGAGAACAATATTAGCTTTCATATTGTAAGCATAGTCAAAATTTTCATCCAATGTTCGATACAATGTGTGATTCAGAAAATACAACAGACAGCAGATAGAGAACAAAATGCGAGATGGGCTATTTAACAACACTCTGCAAAAAAAAAACAAATTAAAGAGAGATGAAAAATCTAATATAAAGTCATTCTTGATAGAGAAAGACAAAAGTAAAAGGGGAAAAAAATTGAGTAATTCTGAAACAAAAAGTATACATTTTTTGGTTGGTTTTGCATTACTTTTTGGCTATTCATTTCACAAAACACTTGAGGACAGTCCAAGGGTAAACCCAAAAGTATGTTTCCCGATTTCATATCTTCAAAACCATAGAAGAGAGAGGAAAATCGAGAGATGAGATTTTGTTAGTCATATTCTAAGGGTCGTATTCGTAGTCATTTCTTACATAGTTCCTTTCCTTAGAGCCACTAGAGAATTACCCCTTGTGTGCTATTGAAAATCGTAAAAAAAAGAAGGTCCCATATGATTTACATTGTGATTAAGGAAGCTTTAAAAAGCCCTATAACATGGCTCCAAAGAGAGGACACTTTTCATGAGCCTTACGTAAATTTCAAAAGTCGAGAACATAAAAGATTGCATTAAGAAAACCGCTCTTTTCTAAATTTTGAGTTTAAAAAGGGGAAATTTTTGCAAAAAATAAACCAACTTGTTAGGTACCTGTAGCCAATAGCGAAGAAACCAAATAAAATAGCTGCAAAAGCACTGATATAGTCCATTATTTCATTAAAAGGTAGATCCCGTGCATGAAATAGAGCAGACCACGTCCAGCAATTCATTAACACCTGAAATGAAGTTATTCATTTTTTATACAAAACTTGGACCAAAAAATATACTCAATTAGACACAATTAGACTCGATTATTATACTCAATAGTGATCAAAAATGCTCCATTCACTAACATCTTATCTCATCAATGCTATGAAATCATAGAGGAATGTTGAAAATGCAGGAATGCGTTTATTTAAAATATTGGAGATTTCAGGTCATACTTCATGTTTTAAAAGGAACATTACTCATCATCATCTTTTAAACTTTTCTTTTACTATTCTTCTCTACGTAAGGAATATTCAGTGAAATTTTTTAGCAATAGCGTTGTCTTGTTCTCATTTGAGATATATAAGATAAAATAAAATGGAAGCAAATATTTTGAAACTTCAAAAACAAGATGCTCATTCCTGCAGTTTTGTGGTCGATTATGAAGTGTTGGAGAGCTTTGAGCAACAGGTTAGAAACTTTCAAAAATGGAAGTTGTGTATATTTTCACGTTTTTATATTTTGTCACTTCCCAAAAAATCATGTGAATCGAGTTTTTACTGAATATAGAGAAGTATGTTCAGAGAATGATGTTAGAAAAGGAGGATGCAAATTGAAACTGGTGGAGAAAAAATAATTTGAAGCAAAAAAAATCTCATCTGAAAAATCTAGGGAACGATATCAAGCAGCATTTGTGAAGTCAGTACCTACACATATATTTATTCTCCAAAACTAATAAAGATGAATAAAACTGGTAATAATTTCTTTACCAGAATACTTGGAGCTTTCCAAAAAGCTAAAATTTTTAAATTTAGTGCACTGGTTTATGAGTAACGTCATTTTCTCTCTTGCAGAGGGTATCGAAAAATTGATGTCACTTTGGAATCAGTGCACCAAATGTAAAAAAACAAGGAATTTTCGGAGAGCTGAGAGTAGATCGATAGTGACATTTTTGACTGCTTTCATTTATTCTCATAAAATTTGGAGGAATAAAAAGATAGTCTTTATTCTCTTACTTCTAGGAGGGGAACACTGTTGTGCTGGGCAAGAATAACAGCGCTCCAAATCCAAGATGAGCAAGTTTTTCCACATGTTTATTGTAGAAAAAGGAAGCCCTTGCATCTAAATAATTTGTATTTCTTTTTTTCCCAAAATTAAAACTCCAGGTCATGAAACATGTCTCCTGAGAGTACTGAGAGACTACTTGGGTTTCCTCTTCAAAAATAAATTTGTTTCAGGAATACTCACAAATCTAGGGTAGAAGGCCACGGTTCTTTCTTAATACAACAGTATGCCCTTTTCTCATTTCCCCCTTAAACACTGTGAAGTAAACTATCATCTTCCATGGTAATAACTATCACAATTTTAAATATTTAATCTCTCTTATCTGGAAGATACATACCACAGCATACGTTACCCAAATCCAATACATGGGAGATTTTGAGCAAACTCTTTTGTAAAAATAACGGAACATATAAATGGTGACTAATAGATGTATGACTGAGGCGATCATAGAAACCGGCTCTTGCAAGCCCCACCATCGGACAAATGGCCACTGGAAAGGAAAAAAAAGACAAATTAAAAATAGAAAATTTGGATACACGTACAATTTTAAGCTCAAGAAGTGCTAAAATGGGCACACGGATAAGCTCGGTTAAATATCACATAGGAATGCTGACACCCTCAGGCCCTGGCAACAAGACACATCTAATATTTTTGGAGTAATATGCATGCCTACATGTACCTTCCATTTTCGTAAAAAAATTCAAACCACAAATGAGCTGTGGCCCAGGCTAAAAACTAATACTAAAATTGAAGTAGTGGGGTACAACAGTAAAAAAATCGGCTGTAAGAATAAATCTCTGCCGCCCCAATCCTGCCTTGCTCTCAAGATCAAACCAATGAGAGAGACCTTTTTCCTAATCATTTAGTGCGACAGTACTGAGGGTGAGATACTTGAAGTGAGAGCGCTATAATATGGGTTTCTCTGCTACGCAGCAATTTTGACCATTTCAGGATCTTCATGTCAATCTATTTTAATTCTCTGACTTTCGGCTTTCCCCCACTCCAATATCTTTAAATTTCTGGACTTTCCCCTGACCTTATAGCAAAACAAAATTATATTTTTTCCTTTTAATTACACCAACCTCTGCTGAACTTAGGACAAAATTTCCACTTCTAGAGATTCAAATTATGGAGAAAACCACCCAAAAATGTTTGCACTCTCTTGAATGATACCAGTTGAAGTTGCTGAGCCAATGCAGTATTTCCAAATTCCCCAACTTTTCCAGGTCATTGTGAATTCCCTTAATTTTTCAGGTCTCCATAAATTTCATACCTTTCCAGGTTTATCAGACTGCCAAAAACCCTCCATTCTAATAGTGAGCCAACCCTACTATTTCAGTGCTCACTATTCATTCGATGATAAAAAATGATTTAAAGACATTGACAGACAATAAATATGTTAAAAAATTGCAGGGGCAACTGAGTAGGACAATTCTAGGTTGATTCACTTTGAGAGTTACTTATGGTTTCTTGGCTTAGAAAAAAATATAAGGTCCATTTGAAACTAGCTGAGATTATTTGTCTCCAGATAAGTTTATAAGGGAGCTTGTTCGCAGATCCTGATCCATGGCTTTTTCTGAGGACCTGAAATTTCATTATGCAATGATCTGTAATTAGATTTATTCAAGTTCTATAACTGCACCATTCTCTCGCGAAGAGCAGCTGGAATATCGTGGTAACGTGTCAGAAAAGAGCGTGGCCGAGCAATTATGGGCATGCTGAATCTTAAAACCAAGCAACCAATCTTGTGTGGGCATGTGTAAGGAATAATTGGCACCAGGTTGCCAAAAGGGGTAATTCCTTGGGTTCCTCCTGAAAGACGGCATTCAAGATGAGAAGAAAAAGTGCCGTTTCCCAGAACAACTACTTCTGTAGGTTTTATTCGTGGTGAAATGTTGCTTTTCTATGACTTTTATAATCCATTGATATACTATGAATTTCTCATTTTTTATTTTACTGAATACATTTTTGAGACTCTACTCACTCTATGTTAGATTCTGAATTGTTCAGCCTTTGAATTGGGCTATTATTGTGTATTGTATCTATATAAGAAATATATACTTGTCCTGTCGAACGAGCTATGCTCAATGATAGAACCAAATGCTCTTTCATTATTTCTATATTTCTTGTAAAACATTATTTTTCTTTAATAAATAAATAAAAATAAATTTAGATTCGATAGACTATGACACTGTTTTGAATTTTAATTGATCAAAATGCCCTGATAAAAAGACGAAAGACATAATTTAATTGATTAATATAGTGTAGATCAGACAACAGAACTTTCACCTACCGTACTTTGACCCTTTTTACTGCTGCGTTCATGTTAAAATTTAATAACATGCTTTTGAAGCAAATATGCACTTTTCATGGATTTGACTTTTCAAAAATAACTTGAATGAAACTAATTACCAAAGTGGTGACACTTCAAAGACCTAAATAAAATCTCTGGATTTTCCTGACATCAGAGCTCTGCACCCCAAGGAACTGGTACTTCAGTACAGCTCTCACGGCAAGCACTAAGAGAGAAGCTACAAAAATTACGGCTCCTTTTCTTTAAAATCGAGATTTATAACCAACTGAAGGCAGCCTCGTTTGAGAGTGCAATTAAAAATTTCTTGCCGTATTACTTACTTTTCCGTGAAATTGTGGTACATTCCAACCTTTCCTCTCAAAAGCCTCCACTAGGTCCCACATACAAACATATCGGCATTCGGAGGTGCACTGCCATTCGAACATTTCTTCGAAATAGGATGGAGATCGTTCTTTTTTGTGGTATCCATCTGAAAAAGGAGAGGAAAGACATATTTATAGTCATGAACCTAAAAAAAGGGGCTACACTACCAAAGAGAAGGAGAGCAAAATTGCCTTTTGCGCTAATGAATGCCACAGCACATTGAAATAAGATACGTGATAGGGAGCCTTTCTCATCTACGCCATGCAGGAAAGAGAGAGCTTGTGCTTAACCTCTCTTTAAATCAGCTGCTCATAAAATCTTATGCACCAACCAAGAAAAGTTTCCACATTTAGGTTAAATAGAGATACAATATGAAACTGCTGAGGTAGTCGATTCTAAGTTGAAGATTTCGAACACATTTATTTACCAAATTATTTTTTTCATTGTAATCTGCAAACACTTTAAGAAATAAACAGAATTTAATGATGGTCAAGAAATAATGCCTGTCTCATGATTAGATACTTCAAAATATTTTTAAATCGTTGGAGTTTATGAAATTCTTACTTTCTAAAACTCATCGTAAGAATGAGGCAAGGCTTAATTTAATAGGTGACAAGTAGGTAAATTGCAATGTGGCATGGTGCAAATATGTCCTTTTATACCTGGTTCCTGTATCACCTGTTTGAGGGAGCTAACTAAATTAATAAAAATAACAATAAGGTAAATATGATGTTGACCAAAGCAACAATTTTTCAGGGAAACAATCATACTTAATGCTATAAAAAAATTGATTGCAGGGCCGTAAATAAGTATTGGGCTCCGAATGATATGAAGAAACAGAGCTTGAGTCACAAGAGTTGACAGATGCATACCTTCCACTTCCAGAGACTGCACTGTCATCAATAGAGATTAAAAATTGAGAGAGGGCAAAAATTCTGCCATGTGCAAATGTGTAAAACAGTCTAATCTGGATGACAGTCAAAAATAAACAACTGTCAACTTGCGTATTACTCTCATTGCATTACCACTCTTCATCTGCATCAAGCACAGAGGTCAGAGGAGAAGATATGATACATAGGTTTCAGTACGAATCCAATCCATCCTTAAAAAATGTTTTCAAAGTAGTGAATGTATGATTTCCAACAAAACACGCTTTCCTAAGTAAATTTTACTGTGGTCCGCTAGGAAGTAGAAAACACTGGAAGTCAGAGAAACATTAACTCAAGTTTCGATCATTTTCTATCCGATTCGGGGGACAGGTAAGATTTTGAGAGAAATGGACTGCTGTCTGTGGATATATCCAAGGCAGATAAAGAAAAGGTGGTCACATTTCGAGTTGAGCCGCCATTATAAAGGCTGTGACACGCAGAGGGTACATGCTTTGCCATGCGATCAGGATGTACCCGAAACAGACTCAATGCCATGTGACGTCAAGAGGTTACGAAATGCAACCACCATTCTTTGTCCGCCTGGGATGTATCATTAAAATATTCTGTATTTAAAGACCAAAGAAACAACGAATGGAACAGACATGTCGCACTGGCTCTGCATGATAATTTTTTTAATATGATGGCATCAACAAATAGTTAAGTCTGCTGCGAACATTGTAAAAACTAGAAACAGAATACTTACCTTCATCACAGATACTCCTACTGCATTCGGAGACGCAGGTTCTGTAATAGGGAAAGCTATCGCCCAAGGAGCAAAGGGAACATTTTAGTTTACAAAAGAACACGAGTAGGGTTAAAATAAATTTAGAACTTTGTTTAAACATGAGTATTACTTTTGAAAGCCTTAGTCTACGTGAGAGAAGAGTCGGAAGTCATTCATTAAACTAATTGTAAATGGCCCGGCCAGTTGGACGGGGGTGTGAAGAGATGGTGTGAAACCGTGCTGATCATGTTGAGTGGACACAACACAATCAAGATTAGCGATGAATATAATCGACAGAGCAAATTTTAAACTTTGAATTAAAAAATTATCAGTTTTGCGATACTTCGTGTCACTATCCACTAATTTAACATTCTTCAAATCAAACCTACTCTTATCGGAAACCTTACAATTTACAAATTATGAATTATCAACAAATCAAAACAAACCAAGCTTGATAAGACGAAAGATTCTTAGTAGCGCTCTCTCTTGGCAAACGGTAAAACTATTTTGATAAATATATCAATGTACTGCTCTCTATGAGGGAGTGTTTGAACTAGCATCTTTTGGCGGGCTGTATGAATTCCTACGTCCGAACCCAGTAGATTTCTCGCCCACATACAGGGAAGAGTCGAAAAATCGAAGAGCTTAAATAGAAATAAAACAAACATTAAATTTAGAGGCACATTATCAACGCGATGAAAGTGAGATTTTCAGGTTAGGTATATGCCGCCAAACAGATTGTTTTTTCTACATGGGTACTCTTGCTGTCATAGCAACCCCGTTTGTAAACACCGGTAACCTCTGTTTTTCGCTCGAAAATATGCTAAATTTTGGTGTTTGTTTTCAGGCTGGCTTGTCCTCCTAAGTGATTAATTAAAATTTAGAAGAGATATGGAGAGTAAGTATGGCTCTTGAGATTAATGAATGTTCGCGTGACCTACCTACTACGATACCTTCTTCCTCGTTATGGCACCTTCATTGAAGGGTGCTATAGTTGAAAAACAGGTGAAGGTTGTTGTTCTTGGAGATATTTCTACTGGGAAGGTACGTGTTCCACTCCATCTATGTATTTCTATACATTTTTTACAGTAAATTCTTCTAGTCTCAGTTTGTAGATTATTAGCACATTTAAGAAGACACGATTCGTAATAAACGATTGACAATCTAAGAAATTTAGACCGTTTCTCGTGTAGTTTCATTTATCATTTACTCACTATTCTTTCTTCTTCCTTCATCCACGAGTAAAGAATTTATTGAAAAATTTATCAATAATAATACTTACTCATTATCAAATAGATTTTTTTTTTTTAGTATATGATTGTCATCTAATTGTTTTCGTCCCAGGAAGTCATAAAAAAAATCTGCAGGTTTTAAAGTCTTAGATATTTTTTAGTTTACTTTTAAGAAAAGTCGTGGCTAAAAAGAAAAATGTTGAGTGGGAATCTGGGACAATAGCCCACGACCAAAACGGGCAACTCCAAGTGCGCAGAAGATAGTTTTTGAATAGACACTCGGTGAAATTCTCTTTTATGCGCAGTCAATGAACGAATAGAGTATTTCAAACATTATAACTAAGTCTAGTATCTGTTACTAAAAAAATTCAAAAATTAGATTAGATGTTATAGTGCTGGTGTCGTTTACGCTACACTATAAAGTCTGCAAATAGAAGTACCCGTTTGAAGAAGTACACGCATTGAGAAAAATAAAGTACCCATGGCGATTCTTTGAACACCCTAGAAGATTCATATTTATGAAAGTGGAGGAACCAACAACTTTAGTAACTGACTTGATTTGTATACGTAGTTCGGACTACGTTTCTTAGTATTTTTTTCTTGCTGATTTTTGTATTCATATATTTGTTTATTGGTTTTTTTCAGAGCTGTTTGTGCGCCCGGTTTTGTAACGATGAATTTACGAGACAGTACTACCCAACAAGTGGGGTGGACTTTTTCTTGAAGCGCATCCACATTCAAGACCACGTCATCAAGCTCCTGATTTGGGATGTCAGTGGGGCTGCGATGAACAGTCCAATGATAACGAATTATGTATATAACGCGCATGTGAGTATAAATAGTAATCAATAAGTCCTTGAAAACTGAGAGAAAAACTGAATGTTTGAAGCTTATATAGTTGAGGATAGTCACATGAGTTTTGAAAAGATTGAAATTTTTTCTAATTACCCTACTCAGTCGAGAATTCTGCTTTTGGTAATTTCGGTTTTTACGCTGGGGAGCGAATAAACTCCAGAAAGTTTGTCATCCTTTATTTTTTAACCAACTATAGAGGTGGTAATGGTCATGGTTGCTAAAACGCCGCGTTAAATTAGTTAAATATTGCTAGCTTTTAAGTGTTGTTTTTTCCAAGCGGGGTAATGTTGTTCATAATACTTACGATAACCACCCACCCACAGTGACGCTTTTCAGCGCCATAAATTTCCTTCAAAAGAGAGGGTATGCAATTAGGACAACTGTAGCGTAGCTTAAGTTGCATAGCCGGCGTTTTGAAGGAACTCTGCTGCACATCCTCAACAAGTATAGTTATGTACTAGGTTTGACGCTGAGTCAAACGAAAAAAAAGTAAAGTCAATCCATTATTTTTTGTTTTGCAATCCCTTGGATAATTCTAAATTCGAGGGAAGGAGGAATGTGTTCGAACCATATCAAGGTTTCGAAGTACAAAAAGAATGACTTAAAATATAATAAATCTAAGAAAAGATTTCGACTTATACCGACGGTTTAAATCACGAGAGCCCATTTTTATAGAGATGTTTGAATGAAGGAGGTTTCAATTATCAGGGGATTCGTCGTGGCTTTACTCCCTAAATGTGCTATCGTTTATACATATGTGTTGCTTGAGCACTTCGGAGACACTCGTTTCGTAAATATTTTCTTTTTCAACAGAGAATCCTTGCAGTTGAACGGTACATTGTACAACCTTGATTTAACCGTTAACGTCAGTATACCGTTGAATTAGTCCATAACACAGTACCTTATTGAGTTGCTTTTTGTCGAGTGATTTTCTAACCGCTCAAATCACAAAAATGCCTTCAAAAGTCGAGATACTTCACGCACATCCGCGGAGTTGAAATATTTGTATCGCATGAATAATTGAAAACAGAGGAGCACGAGCTACTTGGGACTTTTCAATCACTCTTAATTGTATTTGCCGATACGAAAAAAAAGAAATAATGAAATAAAAAAATTGAAAGATCAGATGGATTTTTTTTTTGTTAAGCACTAGGTTCAAGAGAAAATAGATGAAACTATGGCAAAACACAGATAACAGAGAGTCAATTATTGTCAATAGCCAAATAAAACACAACGTTTATACATTTTGAAAGTCCATATCATAAAGTAGGGCTGTAAAAACCACGATATCATCATGTAACACGTTCATTCGAAGAATTGGACCGATCCATAGTGATGGGGAACGCCAAGTATCTCAACAATTTACAAATATCTGTCAATACATATATCAAGTTTAATTAAATGAACAGTTTCGACCCTCCAAAGTGATTCAATTACGATTCCCCGCCCAAATCGATATTTCAAGAGCGGTGGAGAGCCATGCATGTATTCTGTTAAATCACACATTTTACACACCATTGGTATTTTGGTGGACTCAAGGGCATTCAGGACTCCCTATCGCCCCCCCCCCCCCCCATCACTCCATCGAATTTGCTACCCGTTTAGAGTACCTCATACGCACGAAAATGAATGATGTCTGGTCATTGGGGGTTTTTTGCAAGCCTCGTTGAGACTGCAAAAAGAGGGGGTCATTACCTAGACTAGTTCGCGGATTGGAATAATTCTGGTCATTTATTCAAATGGACAGACGCAACAAAAAACGTACAAGATATTCAACGCATTCAACCCCAGAGAGAATGAATACATCGAAAAAATCTGTATTTAGAATTTGGCTTAGATTTTTTAATGGCATCCTTGGAAAGAGACCAATTAACATAGGTTGTTGTTGAATTATATCGGACATTTTACTTCTTTACAAAAAAACGATCGAGCAGATTCTCTCAAAAATGCCAAAAAGTGTTCTCCATCTCACACAGAAAACTTCCTGAAACCTTCAAATAAATCGGCATGATCGTTTCTTGGTGAATAAGAAATAAACTTCCTAGTGAAATCTGGCATCGGCCGATATCTCTTTGTTTCCTCTTGAAAACAACTTATATGTCTTTTTGATGATCTTTTCCATTTCATTCTGGACTGAGATTAAAAGAACAGTATGAAATGAAAAAAATAATAGTGCAAATTATTGAGGAGTAGTAAGCATTCTCTATTTTCTTTCCACCATGCGCCGTGCTTTGCATTCCTTATTGAGTTTTTGAAATTCCACCACTTCTCTGAAAATGTTGTCTTCAAGAGTGCATCAAATCAATTGACTAAAGAAATAGACTTTTCAAGGCAGTTTGTACTTGCATATCAGTTATATACTCAACAACGACTAGATCACGCTTTTATTGAATTTCAGACCGTGAGCCAATTGACTCACTTCATTCATTATAGATTCTCTTTCTTCACTGGCTGCACGGAAATTGGTTTGTTTTAGGCATTCGATTCTGTCCCTCGAAAGAAATCACTCGAATTAGTTGCGCACTGCACACTTGACAGCTTTGAATTAAATATAAGAATCAATTGCTCCGCTCGTATTTCGAGCTCATGACGAAACTCCAGACATGAGTTTGTCGGAGGTTTACTTTCAGGAAAGTTATGCATATTTTTCCTTGGACTTTTCATATATTTTAAATTAAATTGCAAACAAAAATTGACAGAAAAAATTGAAGAATAACATTCACAATTTTCCTAGTAAATTCATTTTTATCAAAGGAAATATAGCAACGTCTCAACGCTCATATAACGTTTTTCCTTAGCACGACAGCAGAAAACTTCACGGATTTTAATGCAAACCCTTGAAATTAGTGCTGCAAAGCGTGATACCACTATTCGACCTCCTGTGCGCTCATCCTGCCTATTCAATGAATTGAAGGCGTTTTTGCTTGCCGTCACTGCACGTTAAATTCAACTCCCAAGCTCAAAAAAAGCTCTCGAGTTGCGGCCGAAATGGAGGGGATATCCCATGCTGTCCTGAGAGTCCTTCTCAACATCAAGATGAACTCTTCATGCAAAGATAGGAAGCAAATACATTGACAAGGCTGCCACTTTATTCGGGGACTCTAAAACTGAAAACACGGCATCAAGCTGCTAATGTATTTGCTCCCTATCTTTGCATGGAGAGTTCGTCTTGATGTAGAGGTGGACTCTCAGGATAGCGTGGGATATCCTCTCCATTTTGGCTTCAACTTGAGAGATTTTTTTGAGCTTGGGAGTTGATTTCAGAGAAAACCAGTCTCACCATTGTGTTTCTCGCGAACTTTTGCATAAGAATCAACAGTCAAATCGCAAATTCCTCACACTTGGAACATCTCCATTGACTTTTGAGGCTATGTTTACATGTTGAATCAATCGATATCGATACAATCTCACCTGTTTGATGTTTCGAATACGATCCATACTGATCGTGCAACCAACACTTTCCGTAATGTTTACAATTCAAAAGTGTAGGACCTCTTATCCTTTCGGAGGCCATCCCTAAATTACGTAACGCATTTTTTTGGCATTTTCGACCTACCCCTCCTTGTAACGCTTTTGTAGCGTAGGTCCCTGGTCCCTATACTTTAACACGTAAAAACAGAATGGCATAACGCTCTCCTCGACTTCCTATATACCCCCCTACAGCGTTACGTAATTTAGGTACGGCCTCTTGAATTATGCATGTAAATCAGCACACATTTAATTTAATGTATCCATCAACTTGTCATTTAAATCCGTTAGAAAAATTACATGACGCACCTACAAGGATGAAACGAGAGGGGGGGGGGGGAGGAGGGATGCACAAATAAGCCATTGAACGTTACAGGAATATTTTACTATTATTGGACGCATCGTTTACTTCATTTTTATGGTTATTTGTCTTTGTGCCAGATTATACTCTTCGTTTACGACATCACAAGCCTGTCAAGTTTTGTCTCAGTGCGTCAATGGTATGACACAGTCGCAAAAGTACAAGCCAGAGCCAGACCGACAGAACTTGCTTTGGTTGGAAACAAAAGTAAGTGTGCATTGAAATGTTTTTATTACAAAACAGATACTATGTACAATACTGCTGTGTTTAAGAAGACGTCCTATGAGTTCAAAAGTTTCTTAAGGTGATTCGATGGCCGCCATATTTTGAGTCACAACGACACACTATATGTCACATCGATTAGCTCCATGCTTTATGCAACTTGTCAATTTTATTGAAATTTAAGATCATTTTTCTGTTGCCACAAGACTGAAGAATTCACTCACTAAATTTGACAAAGCAATTTAGCGTAATAAAGGCAGGGTTTTTTAAAGAAAAAATATCGCATTCGATTCTTATATGGCAATTTTGCGAGTTGGCACCACTGTTTTCTCCTATTTAAATCATTGGCGGATCCAGCGAATTGGCAACACTGCTTTTCCCCATTTAAACCTATGGAAATATATAGATTCATGTAGGTGCTCTAAAAAGAATCGATTATTTAGCATAGGTTTAAATGGAGGCAATCCGGTGTTGCCAAATTGCTGAGTCCGCCTCTGATTTAAATCCGATAAAATATCGATTTTAGGTGAGACAAGCTGCCTGATCGAAAGTCGATTATTTTATATACATTTAAATGGAGGAAAAACAGTGTTGCCAATATTCAAGAATCGCCACAGCAAAGTGTGTCCTCGATAAAATGCGTAATTGAAGCTTCGCACGACGAATGACACAATTGAGGGCATGGCTTTTAAAAATATATTGCACACCCGACCTTTTTCATAAGCTTTATTTGCTGCTTTTAAAAAAAGGCTGTGCGGCGGCGGCGTTATGATAGCGTTCTCAAAATGAATTTGTAGTATTTACCCACAGGCGAGGATTGAGAGCTTATATTTGAATGCCCCGATGTTTTTTTTTTTCTTTGACTGCAGGTGACATGGAGCATCAGAGAAGTGTTCCACTCAACAAACATGCGAAGTTTGCATCTGATATTGGATTCTCCTCTCATATTGTGTCGGCGCGGACCGGGGAAAATGTGAGTTGTGTCTGCAAAAGTAGACGTAAAATTGCACGTATTTCTGCCAAACGGAACCATATGCATGAGCCCTGAGACTCATGAAAACATGCATAACAGAGCTCACGTCATAATGCACATAGTTCCGTTTGGCAGAGATACGTCCAATTGCACTATTCGGTAACGCGGTGGCTATTATTATGGTGGGGCTGCAGTGGAGGAAAACAAACAGTGGATGCAATTTAACTAAAAATGTAGTCTCATCGGCTACATTGGCCTCTTAAAAGTTCTGAGCGCTTCAAAATTAAAACTCCACGGCGCAAATTTTATTTTCTTGTGCTGAAATATACCGGACAATATTCATAAGAACACTTGGACCGCGTTTAGCAGAGAGAAACTAAGCCACATCAGCTATTGCCAAACAATGGGCAACTTAATTTTTTATAAGAGAGCTTTGTGCGGATTCCTTTGAAAATTTTACGAAATGTGCTTCGCACTATGCAGATAACTAACTGAAATTTACAAAAAAAAATCCGTTCAACAGTTTTCGTGTTAAACATTAAATTTTCCAATTAAATTAGGCAAATAGCTGGCTTAAATTGGCCGGCGGCCGGCCGGCCAGCACGCAACGCGCCCTGGCGCCTACAAACCTAAGGGGATACATCACGCATTGCGCAATGCGTAGAGTATCCCCTTAGGTTTGTAGGGGCCAACGCGCGTTGCATGCTGGCTGGCCGGCCGCCGCGCTGCAGCGTGCCACCCACGGCGCTTCACTATTTCACAATAGAGGTGTTGCACAGTATCATACAGGGTTATTCAAAAGTTACGCACCACTGGCCATAACTTTAGTTCTAATTATGATATCGATTTGCGGTTTGTGGCGTCCTTCCTCATATCAAGGGGGAAACTTTTCGAGGTACTTTCCAGTTCTTCATCCCCCCCAGGGGGAGGGGGGCGGGGGGCAACTCAAAAATTTCAAATGGCAACCCCCATCATGTGATACATCGTTAGAAAGAGCATGAAAAAAGAAAATTTTTGGCGCAAACCGGAAGTCGATCTGACCCCCCTGTCAAAAGTTAGGGGGGTCCAAAGGTTATTTAGGGGGTCCGTACCTTCATTTTTTAGAGTAGCTTCGGCGGCTCTTGGACATACCGTTTCTCTTTTCAAAGAGTCCTCGAATACCCCAAGTCTGATACCGAAGTCTTCATATTGCCCCCGGGCCACCACAGCCCCCCCGTAGGGGGGGATGGGCCTGTTACAATGAAACATTGCATTAAAATGCGAAAAGTCACAGAAGAGCTTCAAACCTAGCATCAAATCCGAGTGGAACTTCTTGCCAATGTTAACGCAAACGCAGCCTGCGACTTTAAAGTGAGTTTTCAAAACTCTTAGCCCCCTGCCCCCCTCATTTTTGGTTGCAGAGCGGGTAAAAACCGGGAAATTCACTACAAATAATGCCCGAAACTAATGTCCAACTTGAGGAGGACCCTTGAAACGTTGCGATCAGTAGGAGCATTGAAATACAAGGACTGCCACCCCCTTAAAGTACGGAAACATCCAAAACACCCCTGCTGCCCCCCTCATTTTTCGTTGCGGAGCGGGTAAAAACCGGGAAAATCGCCAGAATTGATGCCCGAAACCACTGTAGAACTTGACGAGAACCCTTGAAACGTTGCGCTCAGTCGGAGAACTGCAACACAGGAACTGCCGCCGACTTTAAGGACGGAAACATCCATAAAACCCCCGCTGCCCCCCTCATTTTTCGTTGCAGAGCTGGTAAGAACCGGGGCATTATTTGTAGTGAATTTCCCGGTTTTTACCCGCTCCGTAACGAGAAATGAGGGGGGCAGCAAGGGTGTTTTGGATGTTTCCGTACTTTAAGGGGGTGGCAGTCCTTGTATTTCAATGCTCCTACTGATCGCAACGTTTCAAGGGTCCTCCTCAAGTTGGACATTAGTTTCGGGCATTATTTGTAGTGAATTTCCCGGTTTTTACCCGCTCTGCAACCAAAAATGAGGGGGGGCAGGGGGCTAAGAGTTTTGAAAACTCACTTTAAAGTCGCAGACTGCGTTTGCGTTAACATTGGCAAGAAGTTCCACTCGGATTTGATGCTAGGTTTGAAGCTCTTCTGTGACTTTTCGCATTTTAATGCAATGTTTCATTGTAACAGGCCCATCCCCCCCTACGGGGGGGCTGTGGTGGCCCGGGGGCAATATGAAGACTTCGGTATCAGACTTGGGGTATTCGAGGACTCTTTGAAAAGAGAAACGGTATGTCCAAGAGCCGCCGAAGCTACTCTAAAAAATGAAGGTACGGACCCCCTAAATAACCTTTGGACCCCCCTAACTTTTGACAGGGGGGTCAGATCGACTTCCGGTTTGCGCCAAAAATTTTCTTTTTTCATGCTCTTTCTAACGATGTATCACATGATGGGGGTTGCCATTTGAAATTTTTGAGTTGCCCCCCGCCCCCCCTCCCCCTGGGGGGGTGAAGAACTGAAAAGTACCTCAAAAAGTTTCCCCCTCGATATGAGGAAGGAACCCACAAACCGCAAATCGATATCATAATTAGAACTAAAGTTATGGCCAGTGGTGCGTAAGTTTTGAATAACCCTGTATGAAATTGAAGAAGTCCCAACATATTAAGAATGACAGGCATCCATTAAGAGTAAGGAACTTACCCCGCAAAATAAATCGAGATAAAAGAGATAAAGAAACATTCCTGAGTATGCCGTCAAGAAGATTTTTTTTTTAAATCAAGAATAAAATAGGTGAACAAAAGCGGGTTTTTGCTTAATGTAAGTGACTTTCCTTCTTAAAAAATCCTCTTTTTTTTCGTTTAAAAAGCTTTTTTCCTTTATTGACTCATGAGAAAATCTTCTTGGCGGTAAATTTGAGGCCATTTCTCTTTGAATCAGGTCACTTTTTCCTCTAATGGAGTTAAAAAATCATGCTAAACGTTATTAGATACAGAAACTAGGAAAGAAAGTTTTTAGACTACCGCTCTCTTTTTGTCGCCGTCACTCGATTTAATTTGCGAGGGAACTTCGTGCTTTTGCAAGATGCTATCAATCATGATACGTTGGGGTGCCTTCAATCTCATATGATACTGTGCAACACCTCCGTGGCGAAATAGTAGCTCAAAGCGCTGTGGCACGCCGGTGCCGTCGCGAAGTTATCATATATAGGAAAAATATAAGAGCCTTTAGCGGAGGCAAATCAAAAGGTTTTCCAGTTGATGGGATTTTCTGAAAAGATAATTAAGTCCTGTTTCACTAAAGAGGTGTAGAGAGTTTTAGTGAATTTTCTCTAATGGAAATGACGTTCCCTCATTTCTACCAAAAATCTCAATTATGTATTTTTCTCTCTTTTATGTATATAACTTTGGAGCAAAAAAAAAATCAACTCTTCATTCTCCCAAGACATTAAACATTTTCATCCAAAAACGTCGTAAGCAACTGTCGTTTGTATTTACATGTGGACCAATTAACTTTGGGTCTCAAGTGGTAAGAGGACCGAAACTCCCCTTCCGAAAAAACGCGTGGACGTAAACTACTGAGAAAAGCAGGTGCGCGGACAAAAAATCGTTAACAAAATGTCCTATAACCTATAAGTTCCGTGTATTGTAAGAAGGGTGATCAAATTGTATCAGCTCCTTGTGATTGGTATTGATTTCAGGTCATTGGTTGCTTTCAAAGAGTCTGTGCCAACTGTTTGAACATCAAACTTACAAGAAATGAACTCGAAGAGAGGACACAGGTCATCAAAGCTGAAATCGTCACAAGCAACCAGAGTAACGCGATTCAAGTATCAACAACCACTTCCTCAGCTTGCGTACTGCAATGACGTCTAACGGAAAGATTGAGAACCTCACACAGTTTAACCAATATCCGGTATATTTTTATCCATATCGACTTCGACATGAAAAAAGTAGACCAACTGGAACAGAGTTCGTATAACCACTCCTTAAAAATAATTTCTAAATTTGTTTCACCAAGAGCTTTTTTATTCTTATCGCTGCTGAAAGGAGACTTCAACTGTAATACTTTATTATATTAGAGATGATCGTTTACTAAAATTAACAAAACTTTGGATTAGTTTTTATTCGAAGACTGTAATGGACCAAACATGTTATGAGAAATATTCATTTTGAGAGTGGAATTTTAAAAGTTTTAAATGACGCAAATTAGCTCGGATTTCTTTCAAGTGAAAAATTAAGTTTCATCTAATGAAAAAGTTGTTTAATTAAACTAGTATCAATGTAGCATATTCGTATGACTTATAACACAATAATTGCAATAGAATACAGTAACTACAATTGCAAATTTGGACCTCTCCGCCATTAACTCTTATGACTTTAACACATGGTCTCTTTAAGAGGAAGGAAACATTCAAAAAGAGGCGGAATTTTAAAGCCTTTGATTTTGCTTTCAATTCTGTGCATATGCAATCTGAGCTCCGCACCAGTTGAAATATTTGTATCGCGCTTTGTTGATTCGGAGGCGCAGTTTTGATGGAAAGTTTGGACCATTCCTGTTTGAATACGGGCAGTTCAATGAACACGATTTCCAAAAGAAGATAATAATTATGTCATTGGAACTTTATATACTTCAGAGTCGAGTTACACACGAATAAGGTTGTGTAACGTAAAAAATATCTCTTTTGCAGCTTATGAGTCCATTTTGCCTTCTTTATGAAATGAATGCGAATCTATTTGTAACTGCTTAACACGTCTTTCCTTGTTAGATAATTTTCTTCTATCCAACATATAATTTTTCAAATAAAAGTAGCATGGCAAAAATACAGCTACATTTGTCAACTTTATATCACATGACATAATATTCCGTCTATATTCTTTGATGTCAACCTCTCCCCAAATTATCATCACACAGTGGTGTCTATTTAAATAAGTACCATGAATGTCTTTACCCACACAAAATCAGCTAAGATTAATAAAACCCTCATACATTAATTTTATGGTATCGGGCGTAAATTACTTTTCTGTGAGTAGATCACGACCTGCATCTCCAGAAATTCTGCTTCTTTGCTCAAATTCGTTGTTTTTGTAATAAAGTTGTAAACATTTCTGTAAATCTGTTTGTAAATATGTAGTCAAGTAATGACATTTTTTGCAGAAATTTAAAATGTATCTATTGATAAAGACTTTTTTCTGAGATATTTAAATATAAAATAATCTGTACTGGTCTTCTTTTTTGCTATTTTTATAAGTTTTTAGTATGATCCCTCATGTGCGGTAAAATCAAACTAGAACCATTTGAAACTATTTTCATCCTCCTGGAGTTAGGTAAAATTATTGCGAACAGCCTTGACTCCTTCATTCACAAAATTCCCTCGTAGGCACACGAGGTAATCCAGGACCGGATTAGACGGGGTGCCGGACTAACCGAACGCCCCCCGGGTGATTTTTAAGCGCGTATACGTAGTAATACATACTAAAATACATACTATGTGTGGCAATTGTGGCATCTCTAATTTGAGGGCTATTTTAATATTTTAATTGCCCTTGAATAAAATGACGGTGGGGGCTGGGACGGCGAGGAAGTTGTAGCTTTAAATGAACCATTAGTTTTTTAAGGAACGTAAAATGCCTTCATTTTTGAGGGTATGCGACCCGCAAATGTGCGTGCCCCTTGTGCCCGCCAATACCCTGAGCCCTTACGCGCTAGTCCGGTCCTGGGTATACACGAGATCACAAATATGCGTTACAATACGTTCATTTAGCCGGAGGAGGGGGAGGGGAGGCGTAGAGAGAGATAAGAAAACCTCCATAATTTTGCGAGAATAATGTATAAGGTTTGGTTTGTAAATTGTTAAAATAAATGGAAGTTTTAGCTGAAATTTTTACGAGACCACCCAGAACGCAGAAATATTTCCGAAAGGAGCAATGTAGCAACAATGAGTTAACACATTTTGAGTCAAATCCTCCACTGTGGAAACTCCAAAATATTATACGTAAAACCTTTCCGGCGGAAAGTTTGAAAATCAAATTGAACACAGAAAAAAAGAATATTCACCCAAAGGAGCTTTACGACTTTCCAAGTGAATGACAACGTTAAAAATGTTAACCCATCATAAGCGGATGAGAGCTTCTTTCCACATCTTTGTACCCTCTGGTCCCGCATTTTATTTGATTTTCGGACATTCGTAACTTTTCAATTCCTTGCAATATTTCGAGTTTCTGATGGATTATTTCGGAGCCACTTTTCGATATGGGTCTGAGAAAGTTTCATTCCATCGATGATTATCGGATTTCAATAATGTGACGGCTGAATTCAGGTTGATGATTGATGAGACACCAAACAGAACTTTAAGAAAAGCTCTAAACCTTGACATGTAAAAGTCGCTTCGAGCCATACCGTTTATTTTTGTCAAACTTAAGGGCTGCATTCTTTCTTCACGGAGATTCAATAAAGTCAGCTTTAGAAGTTTCCTCCTGAGGTTTTCTTCGCGTGTATGATTTGCCACGTTAAAATTCATAGAGGACACGCGACCTGGTGCTTCAGATCATGTCTTGCCTACTGAAGAGTATTTATTTCGGGAGAGTATTTTCATGTATGCGTCCTCATCTGATTGTTCATCAATTTTAGGCTTCTCTTGTCCTAACCACAATATTTGTATAAATAAAAAAAAAGGAAAAAGAAATATACTGCCTTAATAAACTCTCAGTGAACGTCTCCAAGTGCATGAAACATACACGTACTCACATATCTTTACATCAGAATGTCGCTCGCTGTTCCAATTAAAAATAAAACCTTGGAGAAAATTAGGCATAATCTGGGGGTTGATTATTGAAATTGATAGACAGACTGGTAGACAAAGAGGACAAATTGAAGTTGAAGCGACCTTACTGGTGGAAGTGAGTAATTGCATCGGACAAAGGAGGAAAGTAATAGACAAGCTAACGGCAACCTACGAGAGACCCTATATGCGTAGTTAGTCCATCATTCCTCCCTTAGTCTATAACAACCAAACGCTTCAAACAATAGAATCGCTCCATTTCCCTTGATCTCATCATGAAATTTACTCATTTTTGCGGGTGAATGCTTATTTATGAACATTCTTGGCCATTTTAGTTCGATATTGGAATCTGAAGATTTGCAATGACTTTTTTTCGTTTTCAATGGTTTCCTGTTCTTTTGGGCCCTGAAAGCTCCATATTTCAAAAAGCTCGTACTCTCCATAGATCGTCAACTCCCGGTCACAGTGTCACAAGCACCATGCGATGTTTAAAAATTTACCCCGCCATTTTATTTTTCTACGGAAAAATTGTTGGTTGAATCTGTTTGAGAATTTCACCAAATTTTATCGGCAGCACAAAGGAAATTCAGTGACATTTTCGGACAGCTTCGTTGAAAAATTTCTGTGTAAAAAAATGAAACGGCGGTGGAAATTTTTAAACGTAGCATGGTGCTTGTGATACTTTGACCGGGAAGTGACGATACATGTACTCTGCCGTGCTAAAGAAGAACGCCGTATATACCATCTGACGTTGCCAAATATCCTCCGTTAAAATGCGAATTTCAGGGAAATCTATGCATCTTTTTCTTGAAATCTCTCTGAAAACATTTTATTTGTGATTAGATATGAATGATCTGAAAATTTCAAAAGAAAACAGTCATATATTTCCTGAAAAATGAACATTCACCCGGTTGAAATTTGGCAACTCGCGAATGTACATACGGCGTTTTCACTCAGCACGGCAGCACTCTAGTTAAAAGCCTCCGTTTGTCACGTCAAAATTCACAGAGAACACGCAACTTTGCGCTGGAACTCACACCTCGCATACTGGCCGATAGCCAACCCTTAAACGAAGAGCAAAGTTACACATTCGGAATGGATTCCGATCGTCGAGGAAGGGATGATCACACTCGGGTGAGAGGAATAAAATTTCAGCAAGGTGGTTTAGCCTCAGGAGCCGCGCGACCTGCTGCCGCGCCGCGCAGCCAGACCCAAGCTAAACGTTCCGTTCGCTTTTCAGCTTCGGGAGCTGTTTCAGTCCGTTGGCAGCCGGTGTCGTCGTGGGTGGCCGCGCTGCACTGTTTCAGGCGCGCACGGAACTTACGCGAACCCTTATCGCCGCGCCCGCGAAAAAAGTTCGTCGGAGAAAGTTGCGAAATGATGTGCTGAGGAACAAAGTTTCACGCGCCAATTCAATCGTGCTTTCGCGCGGTGCGAAGCCGAACTTTCTCCTGCCTTTTGAAAGTTTTTCAACCTAGTTACGCACGCTAGATTAACGTAACTTAACATAACTTAATGTAACGTAACGTAATGCAATGTAACGTAACGTGACGATGGAGTATGTGAAATTGGTGTAGAAACAAATCAATGGGAGATGAATTTTAATTGACGACTAATTTGACCGGAAGTATCAACTTCGTTAATATTGGATTAGTTAATTCGTGTTTGCATAGTCGATTTAATCTTGCGCAAGTTTTTGCTGTATATACAGTTAACGTAATTTTAACGCACTGCAGTAAAATGGAAGCAAATGTTAAATGCTCTGTGATTTAATCGAGTCTTAATTGAGGTGCAGTGTTCCGATGTTCAAAAGCGAACATGAATGTTTAACAACTAGTTGAGTTTGTGGTTTTCGTTATACCCATTGCTACTGAAATGGGATGCAAAAATCAATTTAACTTCCCGAGTGTGAAGTTTTAGCGCGGACTGTTGTCCTTCGTGAGGAATTATAGATTAATTCATTTTTTGGTCTTGTGCAGCTTGCGTCAAATACTTTACCCTTTTTAATAATTAGGGTACTTCGGAAGCTCTGTCTCGTAAATCGAATGATCTAAGATTGATGATTTTCCTAGCCTGATCCCCTCCCTTCTCCCGAGAAAAAAACGAAAATTCGGAAGTGCGTGGTTCGATAATTCGTGATAAAAATAAACTGTCAAATGTCTGATTTCCTTGAAAATTCAGCATTCAGGGGCTAGAATTGAGATCCGTTTATTATGCACTCAAGTTTTGACCTTGCTACTAGGAAGTGCAAATTCCAATAAATTTTTTCAACGACCATAAATTGCATAAGAAGGAAACACAATGTGCCAAGAGGGTGAGAAATAAGGAGACGCATGTGTGATCCTGCTGCACAATTTCTCATTGTTACCTACATTTGCTTTAAAAGTTCTGCGTGACGTTATTTTCTTGTGACCTCAAGAATGCGCGGAAAACAATGATCAGTAATTTGCGTAAGTGGTGCAAGTTGAAAAGCGTCCCGTGATGTTTGGATTCCGAGGGTGTTTTCAATATTGTGATTTCGTTAACAAGAACCGCGATCTAAGAATAAGTGCGCTATGTGACTCGTGTGGAATTCTCTTATGAAGTTCTGTGAAAACTGCTCCACGCTGGAATTTTCCGAGCTACATGTGGTCACCGTTTACTCGGAGTCACCTTCGCTTATTTCCGTGAGCTACATGTAAGTATATGCTCATTTGAATTGACATAAAAACATAAATATAAATGGAGATGTTGCATGTGTGAGGAATTTGCGATTTGACTGTTGATTCTTATGTAAAAGTTCGCGAGAAACACGATGGTGCCACTGGTTTTCTCTGAAATCAACTCCCAAGCTCAAAAAAAGCTCTCAAGTTGAGGCCAAAATGGAGGGGATATCCCACGCTATCCTGAGAGTCCACCTCTATATCAAGACAAACTTTCCATGCTAAGATAGAGAGCAAATACATTAGCGGTGATGCCGTGTTTTCAGTTTTAGAGTCCCTAAATAAAGTGGCAACCCTGTCAATGAATTTGCTCCCTATCTTTGCATGGAAAGTTTGTTTTGATGTAGATGTGGGCTTTCAGGATAGTGTGGGATATCCCCTCCATTTTGGCCTTAACTTGAGAGCTTTTTTTGAGCTTGGGAGTTGATTTCAAAGAAAACCAGTGGCACCATGGTGTTTCTCGCGAGCTTTTACACAAGAATCAACAGTCAAATCGCAAATTTCTCACAAATGCAACATCTCCATTATATATCGGCGGTCAAAGTTGTATCTCCGTTTGAGACGTAGCCTCTCCGTCTGCTCTATTTTCCTTTGAAAAACTAGTCATCGTAATTTCTTGAAAACTACCTTGATTTTTCTTCTTTGTAAGCAGAATATTCTGTGTAAAATTCAAGCTAGAAAATTGGCTTGTTACTTTTTGGAAAATAAAATATTGGAAATTTTGCAACACTGCAATAGAGTTACGTGGTTTTGCACCTTGACTATCGATATGAAATAAAATAATAGGATGAAACTAGAACCACACTATCCTCAGGAGAAATCAATGCCAGCCGTAAGAAAAATTAGAAATTTACTCGCAAAATGAATTCTAATGAGTTTCAAACAAGGTTGAGCTCCTGGTGAAGAGTTTCTTTTGTAATTTCAATTCTAATTTTTCGTATTTCTGGCTTTGGATTCCTTTCCGAGTGGTGTGGACCTAGCAGTACTCTGTTGCTCTATGTTTCAGGCTTTGTTCCTACTATAAATTAAGTGTCAACGACCTAATATAATATGATGTGCACATAAAAGTGTAAGTCTTACATTTTGTATAAATCCTATTATTGAATAGCTCCGCTGAGCGCAACTGGTGAGGCAGTTAGTGTCTTTAGTCAAAACGCCTTCATTCCTGTGCGTATGCAACAAGGACCTCTATAGAGCTCGAATAGTTGCATCTAGACGCTATAATGAAAGTCGATCAGTATTCGTCACATGTGACAATAACTGAAGCATTGATTGTTTCTCTTAGACTTTAACATTATTCCAGCGTTGCCTTTTATGCCGATGAAATAAAACATTATTGGATTTTATTGCAAAATTGTCAATTTCGCAAGAAATTCAATATTCAAATATATTCCAACGTTGCCGGCTGTAGGAATTGAAAAAAAATAGGCATTTGAGGATATTTAGAGTTTCCTATAACCTTACTTTTATAAAACGTCCTTTGTTTGGGTTTTGTATGGTTCTGTTTCTTTTGGAAAAGCTAATTTTGAAGTTTAAGTGGGACATTATCAAAGAACAATCCTGACGAATCGCACAGATTTTGATGACCGTTCGTCGTTCGAAAAAATGAAATGCGACAGGAAATCTGTGACATCACAAATTTTAATTCACGTATATGATTTCCTAGGTGCAATAGCAAAACTTTAGCACAATTAAGTCTAGGAAATATATTAATTAACAATATATTATGTACTGATCTTTGCCTCCTCGGCTGCACCTAGTAGACAATTAATACACGAAAGAGAGATCATAAATAATCTATATTTCAACAATGTACCATTATAACCTACTTATGAACGATGCAACTGTTCAAATGATGCTTCAAAATAATCCGACCATGTAAAATGGGCTCCAAAACTTTGGAAATCTGCTCAAAGACAGTATGTCAATACTTGAGAGTTGGCGATGCTGTTTTTCCTTCATTTAAATCCATTAAAAATATCGATTTTGATGAGACAAGCTGCCTCACCAAGAGTCGATTGTTTGACATACATTTAAATGGAAGAGAAACAGTGTTGCCATTTCTTAAGGTGATGGATTAGGAAAAGCGGGAAGATGTGAGCCCCGATCAGGCTGTTAGTAGCATCCGTGCATAAGTATACACGGACGGTGTAGGTCGGCAATCACATAACTCGGTTTGCGACGTCGCAGACTTCCTGTCATACTTTATTTTTTGAACGGAAAACTACTCAAAGGCAATTCTCTAGAACTGCCGAGATTTTTTTTCTCTGTGCAAAAAAAATTCTGCATACACTTAAAGGAATGACGTCAACTTGTTCTCCTTTAAAACAATGACATAGAGGCAGAGATTTTCATACACCGCAAACGAGATCTGCGATTGCGGACTTACGCCGTCGACACACCATACATTCTGCCGTGCTGAGGAAGAACGCCGTATGAACATCCGAGAGTTGCCAAATTTACCTTGATAAAACATGTGTTTTTGACGACAATCATGCACATTTTTTTGAAATTTTCAGATATTTTAGATTACCTAAATTGCGTACAAAATTGTCTAAAAATTTCGGGAAAAAATATTCACAATTTTCTAAGTAAATTCGGTTTTTATCGAATGAAACTTGGCAACGCCTAAAGGCTCATGCGGCGTTCTTCCTTAGCATGGCATGCATGAGTCTGTTGCACGCAAGAGATACAGCCAAATAAATAGATCGCGTTAAACAGAAAGGAACCAAGCCACATTAGCTATTGCCAAATTCAATCGGGCAATTTAATGTTTTACATGAAAACGGTTGTGCGGATTTTCGTGCAAATTTCAGTGGATTTTCTCCGTACTACGAACCAAATTCCTTAAAATTTTCAAAGGAACTCACACAAACGTTCTCTCGTAAAAAATGGACGTGCCCAGTTAAATTTGGCAATAGCTGATGTCAGTTGGTTCCTTTCTGTTAAACGCGGTCCAAATGTACTCTTCGCTGGTAAAATCGCACGCAATTCACGTTGGGCATATCAAAAAAGTATATGAACTTCCCAACAAACTTGGAATTGTATTCGGTTCAACAGGAAATTAAAGCCGCCTCCGCCCTAATATTGGCCCTCAGCGGGCGGGTAGGTATGAGATTGTTGGTTTGGCTCTCGTCCACCTACTCTAAGTTATATACGTTTCTGCGCCCTCAGGGGTTTTGTTTTAACAAACATTGCCTTTACGAAAATATTTTCAGTGCTGATAGAAAATTCCAGCGTCCGAATTCAAGGAGAAGGCATTGACTTCGTGCTGAAATGTGACCTAAATGATATTTTAATGATCCACCGAATAGGGTAAAAATTGGACCGCTTTTAGCAGAGAGGAGCACTGGAAAAAAAAAAAAAAAAAAAAAAAAAAAAAAAAAAAAAAAAACACATTCGATCCAGATTCCAGACACTTGAAAACATTGACAAGAAAAAATCTCTTGATTTAATCAGATTTTTGCGTGAATCAAAAGGAAATCCGCTAAAATTAAGAGGCTTGGTTCTTGATTTAAGCAAAAATCCGATTGAATCAAGAGTATTTTTTCTTGTCGACGTTTTTAAGAGTCTGGACTCTAGATCCAATGTGTTTTTTTCCAGTGAGCCAAGCCATACAGCTATATCCAAATTTAACTGGGCAATTTAATATTTTACAGAAGGCCGTTTGGGCTGATTCGTTTGAAAATTTCAAGGTTTGCTTCATACTATGCAGCAAATTAACTGAAATTCGCAGAAAAATCCTCATGTCCGTTACCGTATGAAAAATGAAATTGCTCAGTTAAATTTTTCGATAGTTGATTTGGCTTGGTTACTTTTTGCTTATCGCGATATAGTTAAAAGATCACACGGATCCAAAAGTTGCCAAATTTACTTTAAAAATAGCAGTGTTTGAGGATTGTTTTGAATATTTTTCATGTAAATTTTCAGACTCTTGAGATCAAATTACGAACAAAATTCTCTCAAAATTTGGAAGAGAAATACTTACAAATGTCCCAAAAATTCTTGATTTGTCAAAGAAAGTTTCGCAACATCTGGAGGCTCGTACGGCTCTCTTCCTTAGCATGCCAGCACAGTCGTCTTACTTCCACGCAGAGATGTAAAGAGACATTCGGAGTGAGATTAAAACTACATGAATATATAGTACACCGTATAGTTTGGAGGAATGAGGACTAGGGTGGTTTAACTAATGGCTTTTTAATCGCACATTAGCATCTTCGTTCACGTATGAACGCGGAAGAGTAACTTCCTGAAAAAGTAATTTAAAACGGAATGTACGGGAGCCCTTCTTAGCGACACCGTGTTTCAGTCTGAAATATAATAATCATTGTTGCCAAACGCAATCGTGAAACTGGAAAAATACCTGGATCGAGTATTTTTAATTTTTCTCTCATTTTTTATTCTCGCTTGTTCCGAAATTGAGATTTGGGGGCCGGGGCCTATCACCATACAGAAAATATACAGCATATCGACGGTGAAGTCCGCAACCTTGGTTTTTGACGTTGCAGACTTCCTAACATACTTTATCTTTTAAATGGAAAAACACTCTCGTTGGCAATTTTTAAAAACTGCTGTGGTTTTTTTCTCTGCACGAAGAGAATTCTGCGAAAACTTCAAGGGATGATGTTTATTTGTTCTCTTTTTAAAAAGTAGAGTAGAAGCGGAGATTTCCACATGCCGCAAACGAGATACGTTGTTGCAAACTTACACCATAATATGTCATCATTCATCATACATTTTTGGAGGGAAAAATAATGATATTCGTTTAACCAGGATTTTTTTGCAATCAGTAATGACGAGGATATCTTTATATCTAAGAAAAAAAATAGGTTCACCACGAAAGAGCATATGATGGTTTCTCACTTTGATCTTATCAATTATACACCCGGTGCAACCAATTTGTGCATAACATTGATTTCGAAGTCATGATGCAAAGGTGGGAAGTAAACCACGGTGTATATGCACTAACACGATG